TCCTCCTATACTCCTATACTGTTGTTAATGGGCCTAGGCCTATTCTAGGCTGGATGGTCCATTGTCCTCATTTCTTCTTCTTCCTTCGTCGGTCCGTCCATCCCTTCCCTTCTTCTCCGAGCAAATTGGAATTTTGCCATTATGAAACGTGGGCTTCGCTCGTTTGCCATCTCGCAAAAGGGATTTGTTCATTTGCCATTATCAAACTGGACACACCCGCTAGAATGCCCTTTGAGTAATTTTTTTGCCAAATTTAATCATTTTTTTCGCGGCACCTTTTCTTTCTGTTTTGCCCCTGTTCAATAGGAACGTTCTCTTATCCATTCGTTCCTGGTTCACGGTCTTCACGGAGACATGGACAGAGCGAATGGGAGAAAGACCGAGAGGCAGGAGAGAGAGGGAGCGGCTCGTCCAGCGCCGTCGCCGCCGGCAGCCCACCTCCTCGGCTGTCTCCCCGTAGCCAGCCAGGGATCCTAGCTCCGCCACCGACGCCCACACTGCTCCAAGTGCTGGATGGACAACAACTGGCCAGATCTCATCCAAGGGTACGCATTCTTGCTGTGGTGGTAATCTAACTGTGCCCAAGCATGTAAATTAACCTCGATTAGTGTAGATGTGGTGGTAAACTAACTATGCCACATTTTTTCTATACTAGGCTTGATGGAGAGCCTGAACTTAGCTTAGGAGTGGTAGAACATCCTGCACAGCAGCTGCAGACACCTCTTATTGATTGGGATACTCTATGCATTGAAGAAAGTCGATATGAAGAGGAAAAAATTGAGATTGTTGATGATGAGGTGATGTATGAATTGTTGGGATTTAGGTCTGAGGATGAGGAGGCTGATAAGGCAAGGGAGGTAGTCAGGAAAGTTGGCGGTGAACAGGACGGCGATACTTGGGAAGTTGATCCAACTGGGGTAGCCATTGATGTTGATGACTATTTTCCAGGGGAGAGGACTGTGGTGCATGATCCAAATCGGCCCAGAATGGATCTTGGCATGGTGTATCCTAACATGAAGGAGTTTAGATTGGCTGTGAGACAATTTGCTATAAATAAAGAGTTTGAACTACACATTGTCAAAACAGACCCATCTAGATACATTGCTGATTGCAAAGGAGCGGATTGTCCTTGGCATCTTGTTGGGCGTAGACAACCTGATGGGTGCACCATTATGGTACTAACTTGCATTTTGTGATCCGTTAATTTTTTTCCTTCAATAACTTGAGATTGCTAATGTATTTTGTCCTTCTATTATTGTTTGCATTCACTATTTTTTTTTTGCAGGTGACAAAGGTTATTGGTGAGCACACATGTACATCAAGTGCTAGGAGAAAGACTACCACACCAACCAGTGCTTAGGTTGCTACAAAGGCAATGCATCACCTTAGAAAGAAAACAACTATGGGCTGTAAGGAACTGCAAAAAACTTTGCAGGATGAGCACAAGTGACAAATTCATTATGACACTGTTTGGAAAGGTAGGCAAATTTCTTTGAGAGAATTGTATGGCAAATGGGAAGATAGCTTTCAGCTGCTATTCAATTGGAGGGCAGAGGTCCCGAAGAGGTCTCCAGGTAGTGTTATTGAGATTGGCATTAAGGAGGTAGATGACATGTTCTATTTCCATAGATTTTTCTATGCACTACAACCTTGCATTGAAGGTTTCTTAGAAGGATGCAGGCCATACCTTAGCATAGACTCTACTGCACTTAATGGTAGATGGAATGGTCATTTAGCTGTTGCTTGTGGTATAGATGATCACAACTGGATGTACCCAGTTGCTTTTGGCTTCATTGATGGTGAGACAACAGATAACTGGACTTGGTTTATGACTCATTTGCATAAGGCCATAGGAGATCTTCCTGTTTTAGTTATCTCGTCAGATGCATGCAAAGGTTTGGAAAATGCAGTTAAGAAAGTGTTTCCTAAGGCTAAACATAGGGAGTGCTTTAGATATCTAATGAACAACTTTATTAAAAAGTTTGGTGGTAATGTATTCTCTTAAGATGTATCCTGCAGCTAGAGCTTATAGACAAGAAGTTTTCAAATATTTTTTTCAATTCAATTGTTGAAGCTAGTCCTGATGTGTTGGTTTGGCTAGAGGCTCACCATTATAAGCTATGGATGAGATCTGCCTTCAATCATGACATTAAATGTGATTATGTCACTAATAACCTTGCTGAAGTATTTAACAATTGGATCAAGGACTGAAAAGACCTTCCTGTTGTTGAGCTCGCAGACAAACTCAAAGAGATGATAATGGTGTTGTGGGCAAAAAGGAGAAAATTTTTAGAAAGTCTTAGTGAGAAGATCCTCCCAGCAGTCATACATCAGTTGAAGGCAAGAACAAAAGGACTTGGGCACTTGACTGTTGTAGACTCCGGTAGTTCTACAGCAGAAATTTGGGACACCACAAACACTCACTGTAGACATGTTGTGAAGTCATATCTTCATGAGTGCACCTGTCTTGAGTGGCAGCATATTGGTAAGCCTTGCTAACATGCTTTGGCTTTGATAACAAGTGCACAGTCTACTGATGTAAATATGGAGGATTTTGTGCATGAGTATTACTCTATTGAGAGGTTCCAGACAGCCTATAAAAGAGACTTATAGAGCCATCGCCTGATAGGTCACAGTGGCCAGATGTTGATTTGCCTTTTGGGGTTAAGGCACCCCTTCACAAGATGGCAGCTGGTAGGTACAGAAAACTCAGGATGAAAAGCTTCCTTGAAGGTGGTGGAAGCAAAGGAAAGGAGGCAGCCAAGGAAGCAGCAAACGAGGCAGATAAACATGCTGCAAATGAGGCACAAAAGGGCAAGAAAACGATGATTAGAGGCAAAAAGAAGTGCAAGAGATGTGGAGAATTGGGCCATGGTGAAACAAGCTACAAATGTCATCTTAATGGGACTAAGAAAAGGCAAGACCTACTATATTCACTTGCTGTCCTAAATTGTTGTGCTCATTAACTTGAATATTTCTCTCTAAACTTGCAGGCAAAGAAAGCCAAAGAAAAATACAACAAAGTATGGTGAGAATGCAAAGATCCCAACAAAGAGAGCAAAGAAGGGAGGGGACAGTACTGCTGAACCAACCGTGCAAAGAATGGCACCATCAGCCCCAAATGCTTTCAATGACCAAGAAATGGCAGCACCAGCCACAAATGTAGTATGTAGCCCCACAAGGCTCATAAGAGACCAGATCATACAAAATATCCCCATAAGGGTGACAAGAGGGTATGCAACACATTAATTCTCATTTTTTAGTTGTACATAAGTGCAAAAAATGACTCATAGTGACACTTTTATTGCAGCCGACTCCAAACTTTGCTCGGTGAAGGTGTCGATCCCCCATCCATTGCTGCCTCACCAGACAGGACAGTCCAAAAGAGGAGCCCAGCAAAAAAAATGAAGCTAAGGAAACTAAACACCAAGTGATGCTTTGTGTTCTTGTATCTGGACCTTAGTTATTGTACCTAGAATGCTACCTAGCTATTGTGTGAACCTAGAATGTTTCTGGAATGATATTGTGATCATGAATCTGGATATTGTGTTACTAGAATGTTATTGTGACCATGAATCTGGATATTGTGTTATTGGAATGATTATGGAATGTTATTGTGATTATGAATCTAGAATGTTTCTGGAATGACATTGTGTCAAAATTCTGTCCGAATTCTATCAAAATTCTGACAAAATTCTGTCCAAATTTTAGCAAATTTCTGTCCAAATTTTAGCAAAATTCTGACCACATTTTAGCAAAATTCTAAGAAAATCAGATCATATGATGTGTACAAAAAATCAAAAACACATGCTGATTTCAGAAAAACATTTCAGGAAAACATCTTCTTCATTCCATAGGACTTAGATGTCATTACAACACATTCTACACATTACAACGCATGCTGATTTTGCTTCACTTGCTAATAAGCACTATCATACCTAAAAGAACTATGACAGTCATGACTAAACAAAGCACCACCAACATCTGGACAAGATCGATAAGCTTGTCCATCTTGAGATACATCCTCTCTTCGTCAAAAAATTTGCTTTTAAGCTTCATTTCTCCCGAGGCTTTAGTTTCACCATGATCTTCGAATGGCACTGGAGCTTGCAAATCTTGCAAATCTTCTTTAAGCTTCTTTGCAACAACTTTCTTGTAATCTTCCAACCACCTAAAGAATGGAGATTTCTTCACTGCCTGTCGAAATGACAATACATAACACAGCTTATTTCTCCAAACCTTGACAGTTCATCCAGTTGTATATGACGATAAACAACAGAGCAATATATACTCACATATTCATTGTAGTTTACGCATTTGAAGAAAACTTTGCCGTTGTTCTTTCAGGATTTGCATTCCACTATTTTATCACCGCATTCTGGGCATGGAATGAGAGGGATCCCACTAGGGCTAAGTGGATACAAAGAAAGGGCAATTGTTAAGATGAACGACGAACTAGACGCAGCCTCACCCATAGCAGGCTGGCGTGTGCGGCAGTGGCCTAGAGAAGAGCACCTGAACCGACGGGGGTAGGAGCAGCGGCCCGCCGGCGGCCACAGATCTAGCGTCGGGGAAGCCTCACCAGCTCGTGGCGGCGGCGGCGGCGGGCTGGAGCAGACGCGTCGAGGCGGCGGCGGCGGGCTGGCGCGGACGCATCGGGGCGGCAAGCGGCGTCCACCTGGAGATGTGCCGGCGGTAGCAGACACTCCTCGGCATCTTGAGTCTCCCTCTCCGGTTCCTATCCGTCAACAGACCGTGAAATAGAAAGGAACGAATGGATAACGTTCCTGTTGAGCAGGGCAAAACGGGAAAGAAAAAATGCTGCGAAAAAAAAGATTAAATTTAATAAAAATTTACTCAAAGGATAATCTAGCGGGGTGTCCGGTTTAATAATGGCAAACAAGTGAATCTTTTTGCGGTATGATAAATGGCAAAATTCCAATTTTGTCGTTCTCCTTGCTGCCCTTTTGCCGCGCCGCAGTTGTTCGTTAAGGCGGGAGATGGCGGCGCCGCTCCTCTTCTACGATCTCAGCCTCCTCCCGTCCTCTTCCTCCTCCTCCTCCGGTGACGGCGGCGATGGCAACCCCAACTCCTCTTCCTCCTCCCGCCTCCAGCTCTTAGCCGCCACGGCGCGCGCTCTCGAGCTCGGCTACGCCGCCGTCGCTCTCGACCACCCCCACCGCGGCATCCTTGCCGACTCCCACCGCTGCCGCACCGAGCCTTTCACGCCCCTCTCCTCTCTCCCTCTCCCATCCTCCGCCGCTCTCCATCGCCGTCGCCTCGCCCCCCCCGCCTCCGAGCCCTTCCGCCAGTACACCCGCATCACCCTCTCCCTCGATTCGGCTGCAGCCACCGCTTCCGCGCTCGCCCCCTCCGCCTCCCGCCTCCTCCGCACCTACGACCTCGTCGCAGCCCGCCCCCTCACCCAGGCCGCATTCGATCACCTCTGTCAGGCACCCTTCTCAGCCCAACACCTTGATCTCATCTCCATCGATTTCTCCTCCCACGGTAAGCTGCCCTTCCGCATCAAGCCCCCAATGCTCAAGCTTGCCCTGCAAAAGGGGCTGCATTTCGAGATCGCCTACTCCCCACTCATTTCTACTGACGTCAATGCCAAGAGGAACCTCATAGCTGAAGTCCAGGTCAATGTTATTCTACTCCTACCCAAGGACCCAACATTGTTTTCCCTTTGTGATAACGCCTTGCTCTATCGAGAAAACAGAAAACCACCTATTTTCAGACACCATATGGTACATACAACTTTCATATATCTATAATAATACATTCTATTTTTAGCTTTTGGTGGACTGGACTAAAGGAAAAAATCTCATCATCTCAAGCGCTGCTCATACTGCTTCCCAGATCAGAGGCCCCTATGATGTCATCAACCTATCTGCTTATTTACTTGGCATTCCCATTGACCGAGCAAAAGCTGCTATGTCCACAAACTGCAGGTTAGCTATTCATTTGTCAAGCCCCGTGTCTCAGAAATCATGCATGGTAGCCAGCCATTCTGTCAATTTACGCTACTGATTGGGTTAGTTTTGGCTCGTGCAGTAACCCCTGTGCAAAGAGCATCTTTTGCTGTTAAAATATAGCAGCCTTTTGTTTTATTTAGTTTCAGCTCTCTGATTGCAACCTGGAACCTGCCATTCTGTCAATTTACGCTACCTACTTCCATTTAAGAAGACAGCAAATGTTGCTTGAATTGTGATGCGATTTTGTGCCATTTTCTCATTGTCAGGTCACTTGTTTTGAAGGCTATGAGGAAGAAACACTTTTACAAAGAAACAATTAGAGTTGACAGACTATTACCAAATGAAGAGTTGACTTCAACAAAATTCAAGCTTGCTGATTGGATTGGTTGGAAACTTGGAATTCTGTATCATCTGAAGTAGGGGCAAATCAGGTGGAACCTTCTTCCAACTTTGATGAACTTCCTGGTTCACCCATATGTGGTGTAATCAAAGGGTCACACGAAAAACCTCACAATCCTGATGTGTCTGTCTTTGTTAAACTGTCAGAACAACCTAGTGATCAAGATCAAATCCCATCCGAAACTCAAGAAGAGACACTACAAGTTGACAGAACTGAAGTCCTGACAGATTGTGGCCAATCTATCTTGCCAGCATCTTTCAATTATCAGAATGCTATACTTGAGAAGGCCGAAAACAATGAAGTTTTTGTGAATCCTTTTGTGCAGCCTGGTACAGGTTGTTTTGCTGACCCAAAAATTGTAGCCAAGCATGTTGAATTCGTGCAGGATGCAATGGAAGTAGATACAGTAGAATCATGTAGGCCAAAACTCGTTGTCGGTGACAATATTCCTTCAACCTCTGATACTAGTACGAAGCTAGCATGTTCTGCTCTTCCCCATGGCATAGAGCTTTCTGGTACTAGTCTTGAGGATCAGGGGCCAAGTCACTCTAGTGAAATCCTAGCCAATGATAAGTCTTATATGAAATATCACACTGATTGCACCTCTGGTGTGAGTGAGGTTCATGAAATTTCTTCTGGTGCTGATGTTTGGCCTGAGGACAGGTATTCAGATAGGTCTAATGGAATTCAAGCTGATAATGAGGCTTGCAGAGGTACTTCAGAACCACTGGAGTGTCCCCCATGTGGGGTAGATGACAAGGCACCATCCGATCTTTCATTTTACTCAAGTCATGAATTATGCAGGGATGTTATAATTCAGCCGAAAGTTACGGAGGGAAAAGTAGAGCAAAGTAGGGATGAAAACATAGTACAAACTGTGGAAAATGAAGCAGAATCTGTTGACACAAAAACAAGAACATCTATTTCAGTGGAACCTACGTCCCATGGTCAGGAGATCAGCTCAACTATTCATACAAGAAGCACTGGTGCAAGCTGTGAAAGTGATGAGCTGAAAGAACAGAATTCTAAGGACATAAATGCTTCTTTGGATAAAAGTATTGCTAAAACGCATGAGCTACTTCTAAAATTTCCTTATCCAAGTGGTAAGGCTGGGATGTCCACAGTCAGATCAGGTAAGATATGATGCCTTGACTACTCTTTTTTTTAAAAAAAAAATTGGAACACCCCTAATCTTTCTACTCTTTAATATTCAGAATTGTTTCATTTATTTACGGTGCATACTGCCGTTTTGTGTTGCATACCTTTTTTTCTCTGTTAATTCTCTAGTTTCTTGAGATGATACAATGGGGTTTCTGTCATCTTTCTTTTATAAGGGAAAGGCAATCAGAAGGATACTCCTTGTTCCTTGCCTCGTTTACATATTTTGTTATAGATTAAAATAAACTTCCTTTTGGAGAGGGTTTATCATCTTGTTTCGTGAAAAGGATTTGATTCTGTAGAAAACAAAAAATAAGTTGATATTATATCTATCTTCTAAACAAGTCTAAATTATTATTGCTTTTGCAGAAAAGCGAACACATAAACTAAGGCCGCACCATCCAGCTTATCTTCCTTTCTTGGGCTTCCTTCTGTCCGTTTGTTTGAAAAAGAAAATATGCAAAGTAAGAGGACTGATCAAACGTGCATGAGGTTTTATTTCACTCTGACAGGAGTTTGCTGTCAATTACCATCCCTGAATCATTATGTAACAAGGGAAGATCAAGAAATCTCGTTTTAAAGTTTTGATCTGAAATGCAAATCCGTTTACCAATCAGTTGTATCGTACATATGGAAAACAGAGCCATACCTGAGTTGGAAAATTTTCTTTTTTGGTTCGTCCATATGTAACCTAGATCTAACTTCCCCAGTGCCACTACAAATCTCAACGCTCATGTTTTGTACAGTAAAACTCTCCTTTTGGTTCCTACTTTCATGTTTGGTGACTTTGATCAAATTAACCTTGGACAAATTAAGATATATAGTGATCTGACCAATGACTAATGGGACTGGCAGTTCCACCTGACTCACTACCTTTAATACACAAGCTCATGAAATCTGGTGAATATTGCAGTAGATATGTTTTAAGTTTGACCAACTTATAGTACCATGGTTCTGGAAATAAATAGAAAATATAGGTAAGGGAAAACTAGTGTTGGTTTTACTGTTTCGCAAATGTGCAAAGTTGAAGTAACAATCTGATTTATCTTTTTTCACGTAGCAGGCTTAGTAATTCTGCAGTAATTTGATTCTTATTAGGTAGTTACATTCTTACCAAGTATTGTTGACTTTATTGTAAATGGAACAGAAACATTTGGCTGCATGTTTGCTCAATCCTTTGATCAGCCTGCCATGGGTCTATCTGACACTTAATTCTTCACTGCCTGTGAAACATGATTTCATATATTCTTGTTGAAATAGATATTGTTGGCATTTGTTGCTAGATCCTTATTACAGGATGCTCTACACCAACAAATGTGTATAATCATCAATGTTGGTGTATGCATATGTAACTAAAAGAAAACCCATTTGAAAGTGTTTGCATGTCTAGCCTTGAAAGACCTTACATATAGCACCTCAATTGGAGCAGCTTCTTCCTTGCTTAACTGAAAATAAACCTGCACGTGACCACCATGTATGGCCATTATGTTATTCCTAGGCTTTGTTGGCTCTCTGAAGTAGCATTATGTTACTCCTACTCATCCTGATATCCTCTATACCTAACAATACTGAAGCAGTAAAAATGTTTTGTTTTGTAGTGATTGCCTTGAAATAATATGAAGCAATGATTACTAAAACTGGATTCATCACATAATTTTTTTATACAAATGTAATGTCATTTTAGTACCTGGCACGGTGGAGCCTGCAAAATTATAAATTGTTGTAAACAGACATTGCAGCATATGGTGCTCCCATGTTGCCACAGTGTAGCAAATCAACTACAAGATGAACCAGCTATGCTGTTCTCAAATGCCTCTGGAAAGGCTGAGTTGGATGTGCATATTTCTTGTTTTCTTTCATTTCTACTTAGTATTCTATGGATGTAATTTAGGGATTAAACATGAACTACTAACAATTTTCTCTTTAAAGATAGACTGTATTGGAAGGGAAAATAAGCGCAGATGAAGTACAGTAAGCTCCGCTTGCATTGCTGTGGCTTTTCAAAAGCATTTGTTTCCTGATTTTGGATGCAGTAACAGTTGATAGCATTGTTTTTGGAGGCCAAACAGCAACATCCTATTATAATGGTATAAGATTCCACTATAACTAGTTAGCTATTACAGCATAACACATGAACCATGAAATGACCATGCTTCTGTTTGATGTGAAAAGTTTCTAGAGACCATGATCGTGATAAAAAGCCATACCCCACACTTGCACCTGGAGGAAGATTTGGGGCAGGACCAAAATCTTTCCTCCATATGACACATCCCACCAGAATGGGTGGTCTTATCAGCCTCCATCTATGTGGCCTCCTTCAGCTAAAGCTTATGACATTTGCAATGACCGGTTGGTTATTCTTAACTTCATTTCATATGAATAGTGATTTGCAATTTTATATTAGGCATCCTATTGGAGTTAAATGAACTTCTCTGTACTTGAATACCAATTATTCCCATAGTTGTGTATCTATGTAGTCTGTCAATAAATTCTTCGTGCACATCAACTAAACAATCATTGCATCACCACTCATGCTATAGTGGTGTGACTATTCTTATAGTTGACCTAGTAGAAGAAAAGGAAAATCTAGGAGAACTGCGCGCTATCCTATTACTCCCACTTGTTTTCATTATCTTACATGAATGATTCGTTGATGTGTTGCTTGACAAAGAGGCATTTGCTTATGAAATACTTGTATTTCTTTCTATGCAGTGAAGTGTCAATGGTTTAATGTGTGGTTGCTTTGGTGTCTTGAAATCGATGCAGGTTGCATGTAAAAGGAAGTCGTAAGAATTGTGGTGTATACAAGCAATTTGGCTCATGTCAATGGACAATAGATCTATGGTGCCCTTTGACTTTATCTTGTCGGTTGGCTAAGGCCACTTCAAGTCGTCAGGGCATATGGCTATGTCAACGTGAGACTCAATTCTTGAGTGGGCTACTGTAGGGATTCACGAGAAGCTGTGGCCACAATAGGAGCAGGGAGTCCTGCGATTGGTGTAAGGACACTCCAGTGATTTTACCAACCAATTGCCAACTGAAAACAGCGTCCTGGGTCAATAGCAGGAAACTTGTGCCCAATAGTTGCTCGAAACAAAACTGATTCTTGTGGGGCTCAGCCTTGCTGTAGGCTGCATTATTCAAAGGCGGTATCATATCACTTCTTCCTCCCCCACCAAAAATCTTGGGAGATGTCACTTCTGATTTTGGAAGCTCATCATATGAGCCAGTGCGGTGGGCTTTGTAGGGACAAAGTCTTTTCAAGGGATGCTTCTTTGCATTTAATTGCGATCATCATTCGGTGAGCTTCCTTTGCAATGACCTTTGTTTCACGGAACCTGGATGTAAATGAACTAACTGCATGGAAAGTCTCGGGAGATGTCACTTCTGATTTTTGGAAGCTCATCATATGAGCCAGTGTGGTGGACTTTGTAGGGATACAAGTCTTTTCAAGGGATGCTTTTGTGTTTAATTGCGACCATCATTCGGTGAGCTTCCCTTGCAATGATCTTTGTTTCTCCAAATCTGGATGATGGATGTAAATGAACGAACTGCATGTGTTGCTTACCTTTGCATATGTGTCCATGCATCACATTACTCTGATTAGGGAATGATGAGGAATGCTAGAATCAGGAAAATATTTTACATGTTGATTCCCTCCCGGTACATGGAGTGGTAGCGGTAGGTCCTTACCCGTAGTTGCGGTGTGGTCAACTGCAAGTTGAGCATGTGTCTGTCCTGGTGTAACAGCAGCACAGGGCATATGGAATGGGAGTATCGTTTCAAGGACATCAGTGGAACCGAAAAGGTATAAGCGATATCTCCAACTTGCTCATGTCTCCATGAATAGAAATATAGATAGAATCGTCAATTGTGAGCACTATTGTCCTTAATCGTTTGCGATTTCTAGCTTTGGTGTTGCTCATGTGCTGTGCTCACAATCTATTGAGATTCTCTTTGTCAGAACGTACACATGCATTTTTGGTTCTAAGTGCTAGCTGCATTGATCCAATTCCTTGGTGCATAACATGGAGAATTCATGCCTGCATTGTGGTTGTGCAGGGCACGCCCAAAATTCAGTAAAGTTGCTGCGCCCATGCGCTTGTATGCGCACCAGCTTACTTTTGTTAGGTTGTGGCAGCTAGCCGTGGATGCAGCACTATAACCATCTGTGGCTCATTGTGTATGCATGTATGTACGTTGGTCTCCATCTCATCCTGCTGCATGTGTTTGTTCAAGTCTATAAAACCCAAGAGGGCCTGCCTGCCTGTCAGCTGTCACCGCACACTACCGATCGAGAATCGAGATTCATACATACATTAAGCAGCACCCACAGGCCACAGCCATGTATCAGCAACACCATCACTGGGGCAATTCCTCTTGTTATTGCGTTGATGGTGAGCTCAAAGCTGGTGATGCAATCCTTTCCTCTCGTCCAGACGCCTTGCTTGCCAATGGAGGAGCATTCCTGCCTTCTCCGTCGCTGCTGCCGCCACCGCCACCGTCGAGCTACATGTCTCACTATTCGCAGCCCCCGCCTGCCATTGTTCCTCCACCCATGGTCAGTCAGCTGCACGCCATCCCCCACCTGTCCCCGACGTCGTCGTCGTCGTCCGGCATGGCTGCAGCAACGTCCTCGTCGTCGTTTCGCCGGGCGTTGAGCACGGGAGACCTCATCGTCCGGGACCGGGAGGAGGAGCAGAGGGTGGTGGCGGCGGCGGCAACAAGGTACAGCGCGGAGGAGCGACGGGAGCGCATCGACAAGTACCGGAGCAAGCGCAACCAACGCAACTTCCAAAAGAAGATCACGGTCTGCCTGCTGCTGCAACATATATATCCGTGCGTATTGGTCTGGTTGGTTTCAGCTAGCTCTGGCTGCTTTCCTCTAACATACGCAAATGGCGGCGCATGCAGTATGCCTGCAGGAAGACGCTCGCAGACAGTCGTCCCCGGGTGAAGGGCCGCTTCGCGCGCAACGGCGGCGACTACACGGAGGCGGATGCTGTTGCAGACCACCATGTCCCAGCAGCAGCACATCAGTCAGAGTCAGAGTCAGACTCGCCGGCAACAGCAGCGGCGCCGAAGTGGTGGCCGCCAGTGCAGGAGGAGTTGCCTGCCGGCATCAACCTAGCTGAGCTCTGTGCTGACGACGACGAGATGCTGGCCGCCTACCTTGGAGTCTCCTCCATCAGTATAACTGATCATCACTACAACTGCCACCCGTAGATATATAGATAGATGCATGAGTAGAAATGCTGCTCGCTTTAATTTATATTATTATTATATATATCGTTGTTTTTTCCCCTTTCTGCTAGTTAACTGTGTATACATCTCTGCACGGGATTTTCTTTTACTACAAAGAAATTTGATATTGCCTTTCGCTTATATAACTTTTCTTTTATATATTGCCTCTGCTCGTTGTTTATTTCCTGATCAATCGATGTGCGTGTCTATCCATGAGTCTGATGCACACAAGACAACATTTGTGTACTAGTCTTCTACATATATGATTTAAATTAAACATAAAAGTGCCTGCATCTGCAGTTTATTTCCCTCTCAATGACTGTTGTTTTATATCTTTTACATGGTTCATTTTTCATTTAACAAAATATGTATGTGACCTTGTTGGTACTGTGAATACACAAATCCAAAAGTTATGTTTTTCTCTAGAATGATCTGTTACATCTCAATCTCCATGAGAAGAAAAGTGTTTTTTTTTTTTTTTCTACAAGTTTTCATAAGAGAAGAAGAATACAAATAAGTAAGGATCTACTCCCTCCATCTTAAATTGTAAGACGTTTGACTTTTTTGATCCCAAGTTTAACCACTCGTCTTATTCAAAAAATTTGTGCAAACATAGTGAAATTTAAGTCATTCTTGAAGAACTTTTATTAATAAACCAAGTCACGACGAAAGAAGTGATATTTTGCACAAATTTTTGAATAAGACGAGTGGTCAAACTTGGTGTCAAAAAAGTCAAACGTCTTACAATTTGGGATGGATTGAGTACTTTTTTAGTGAAAACCAGGTCCAAAAGAATACACACAACTACACAACCACTGTCTGCCTACGCTGGCCAACAACTTTTTGTCGCTAGCCAAGCCACACCCAACATAGATGCACATAGCCATCGCTTAGCCTACCATGCCACAACAAAGCGTAGTATTGAACGATAGTCACAACAACCCTATGTAGTGCCACCTACCACCTTAGCCGCACCACCCCTGCGTGGCATGCGAAAGGGGCAATAGCCAAGCATGACCGACACATGCTGACTTATGTCACACGTACCTAACCTGCAGCCAGTCAGCCACACACATACACAAATGCAGTGTCACTACCTTCCACAAAAGTCAGGAGTGAGGTATCTCTCCCAGTACCGCATAGATCCGTCCAACCAACCGTGGGTGAGATTAGGTCCGGACAATGGATTTAAACATTACCAAGGTTATGGCCAAGCCACCTCACATATGCAAGCACCGTTGATAACCGCCAACACTAGCCCAAGAGAAAGGAGTCGAGGCTGATGATGATGTACACCTTGCCACTGCCGCCCTTAGATCCGACTAGACTTCTAACTGCGTGCTTTGGTGGCAGCAAGGGACATGGGAGGAGGGAGGAACATCACTGGCGTCAAACTTAGGTTATGCAGAGACGGGAGGGAAGAACATGGGGTGTTTAGTTGAAGGAATGGAGACATGAAGTAGTCTATCATCTTCTCACTTATTTTTTTACTTGTGGGATGAAATGAGTTGATCCAGCACTAACTTATTTGACACAAGCTAATAATTAGTATAGGTACAAGAAATGAGGTTATTTCACCGAATTTGAGAGATGGTCATGCTTCACATCATCTAGATTTCCTTTCCCCTCAAACCAAACATCCTAAATTCCTAATAGATTATGCATGCTTTTTTCATCAACTGTTAAGGTCCAACACAGTGCATGAAAATAAAAAAAGTGAGATTTTAATTCATGGAGAGGCATAAGAGGAAACACATTAAAAGAGACAGACACCAGTTATCATATAACACGATCTAGCAAGTATATTTGTCGGCGGATTGGCAAATGTGCTCTAGTATCCATATATATAGTATTATTACAAGTATACCATAGCCGGAGCTTGCATTCACATGTTTCTCACCCAATGATCGATACGATACTTGCAGTAGGATGCTGTAGCAGCTATTGTACTAGTGGTGACAATATAATCCCTATTGGATTTTCTTTCTTTGCAATTTACTAATTTACATAATTAATTTCTCCCAAGAATGCAGTAGCAGGTCTCACATGCATGATATGATGCTAGGCTAGCGTATCGACACGTCTCATCACTACTAGAGCTCAGGGTGTTAACAACCATACATATATGTTAGCCACCACCAACTGCATGTGGTGATTGTTCGACTTATCCAGTTATTAGTCTCCTAAGTTTAACTCCAGAGGAAGGTAACTACGCAATCTCTGTTGAAATCAAGAGTAAAAAATGGAAACAAGGCTGGCTACGTATCAGTGCTTGATTCACTCTGGATCTCATCAAACAACGACAACTTTTTTAGTATTATTATCATATTTTGGAGTGGAGCACTTCTACTCCGGTCCTCATGTATGATTCCATTCACTAGTGCACACAGCCTGCTTATCAGTCATACATTGGATGAATCTGAAGACACACTGAACAAAATATGCGTACAAACAGAGACCTTTACCATTAACTTCTCTCAACCTTGTTGATCAATATTACTTGACCATACCTAGTAGGCTCCAAAAAGCATTTATCTTCCAACTGCAGATTTTAATGGTTCAATTCCAAGACACCGCCACCTGAAACTGTCTATACAGCAATGATGCCCCTAGTTTATCGCAGCAAGAGGGGCTCTGTGTTTCGGGTGTCCTCGACCCTGCCAACTGCTGCTTCCCGTTTCCATTTACAGCAAGCTTCGTCGGTGTTCTGCTGTCCCAAAATGCCTTCACGAGATCTTCAAGGGGGGTTACCAACTCCCTGATCGATTGGCTGTTCAGAATGTTGATCTCACGCCTTCTTGGTGTTGAACAAGTTGCTTCATCCACCTGGCCCAGAAACGCACAGAACTCGATATTAGAAAGTGAAGGAACCATCATGCTTCACCAGGTAAACAAACTACTATGTATATATATGCCCAGAAGACTAATATTGCTAACCTTATAATCATCTCCCAGAGATCTATCGGCATTCCCTGTTATTCCTTTTGTCTTCTCATAGTGACCATGTTCCAAGTCATGAAGTTCTGTTCTGGATGTCATCACGATGGATTTCACATTGTCGCAAATACCATGGTCTAATTTTAATGAATCTGGCAAAGAAATCAGCAATTTGCAGGAAACTTTAGACAACAGAAAATGCATGTGCTGGAAAAAGAAAGATGTGCCACTGTGAGGAAATAGTACCGTCAATAGAACTAAGAAGGGATTTGCTTGAAATGTCACTATCTTCAAATCCAGCAGTGACAGCAGATGAAAATCTTGCGTCCAGTTGGTTGCTCACCTCATTCCCATCACTTCATTCAAAGGATGCACATATGTTTAGCATACAAGTTCAAGTTGATTCTCTTCAAACTATTTATCCAACAAAACCAACTTCAATTGTCAGTATCAATTACCTTATGACTGAACTGATGGCTTCTGCATTGTTTCTTCCAAGCGCCAACACCAAATTTTGTGCAGTAATCCATTGTTCTGAACATAATTCTACCCTTCCCTTGCTGTACAATAAATCATATGTGTTAGTTTCCATGTTCTAAAATTCTCATGAAATCAACAATTTAACTGTTGAGATAGACAACTTACCATTGCTGCAAATTCCCTGCCAAGAAGCATCGTTTCTGTTCAATAGATGATACATTTTGTTGGAATGCCTCTTCAGTTCTCTTCATGTAGGCTTCCCATTGCTCTTTCATAGAAGATGTAAAATCATGAAGCTTGGTAGTTTTGGTTTGTAAATTGTTTGAACGCTCAGAAGCAGTCCTATTGAGGCTGCATATATCGTCTTGAACCTGGTAAAATGACACATATATGTCACTCAGTCAGCTCAGTAGTTGGTTTTCAGCTGTTGCACAAGTAGATGTTTCTCTGAAGAAATTTGACTAGGATGACCAAATAACAGTATGCACATATGCATTGGTTTATGACAACAAGGGCCACACAGTAGTGACCTATACATTATTAGGCATCCTCCGATATTGAAGTGAATGAAATATCCATATTTTTCTTTCTAGCATTCGATTCTGCAAATAACCCTGCGACCTTCTCCATCAAGTACTTCTCTTCATCAGCAACAAAGGCCTGAATCCATTTCATGTCATCAGATAACAAATCATACAACTAGATCCTTACAGACTAATGAGAAACTTACAGCTGCAACAGAAGATTACCTCAAACTTCTTCTGAAGCTGGAAGAGTTGCTTTTGATGTTCCATCTGTGATTCTTCCAAAATCTTTATGAGCTCCAATGCATGGGAATCTATAGTTTTGAAGAAGTTCATTGTAGTTGTCGAAACAGACTTTGTTCTCTCCAAATTTCTAGAGAGCCCCTGTATGAGTGCAACGTTTTTCTTATACTACTGTAATCAACAATATGAGCTTAATAAATAGGTAAAAATTTAGCATTTTGTAATAAATAATGAACCTCATGCTGCTGCTCAATAAATGTAGCAAAGTTCACTTCTTGCTGAGAAAGCCCATTTTGTAGTGCAATGAGTATTTGGTCAGCATCAACCAACAGGCCCTTCATGCACTGCACACCAAAGAATTCTCAGTATGTGTTTACAAAAATAGGGAATAAAAATAAAGATAATGAGCATAATATAAGAGGATTTCAAGATAATTAAGTACACTTACGTCCTCAAGGCCAGATGTGTGTGTGATAACTTGCGAGTTAAGGTTTTCAAAGCTCAACACAGATTTATGCTTGAGTTCATTTGCGAAACCATGCAATTCTGCTACCCTAGAATTGAAGCTCTCTTTGAGCTTTCTTACATGCTCTTGAAGCCCTCCAGCAACCTAAGAAAATGCGGCATTGTTAGACTTGTACAGACAAAGAATGAACTGATAACCACATGTTTGCTTTTTGGTGCACCTTGCCCTTTGAGGTGACAAAAGATTGCATCTCTTCTTCAAGTGATTTTAGTTGGCTCTCTTGTTGAGAGACCGAGGTTGAGACTGTTCTATGCAAGATACTAATGTCTTGAGTCAGCTGGGAATGGAAATGTTGAATTGTACTTCTATTTGTATCTTCAATCTTTTCCTTCCTTTCTGAAAATCGATACCAAGAATGAATATAAATATTTAAATTGAGAAAGGAAAGAGGGAAACTCCGCCTATGGTGGGGCGCCTTTGGTATCCCAGCATAGCAGGTCCCCAGCCCTGGTAAAGGAGGAGGGTTGTGTTCGGCGTGGCGAGCCAATGTAAAAACTTAGCTACTTTAATGGAGATGAAACCCGAAAGAAAATCGTTGGGGCGTAACCCTCTTAGCGACGCGCCATATCAGAACCCGGGTATGGTGTTAAATGGGCAAGGGCCGGGTCGTCACCCCCGTGAAGCGCCGTGTCGTGATCTGGGCATGGTGTCAAGTGAGCAAGGATCGGGTCGTCGCTTCCTTAGTGGCGCGCTACATCAGCGCCCGGGTGTAGTGAAAAATGAGCAAGGGTCTTCACATCTGAGTCGACGGGTGCGAAGGGTAAGGAAGCTAGTCGAACCAACTAGGATCCGTCTAGTTAGTTGGAATGTAGGGTCACTTACAGGTAAGTTAAGAGAATTAGTTGATACCGTGACTAAGAGACGTGTGAATATATTATGCGTTCAAGAGACTAAATGGAAGGGTCAGAAGGCGAAGGAGGTGGACAATACAGGTTTCAAGCTTTGGTACACAGGGACAGTCGTGAATAGAAATGGAGTAGGAGTTTTGATTGATAAGAGCCTCAAGAATGGTGTGGTGGGAGTGAGAAGGCAAGGAGATAGGATTATCTTAGTCAAGCTTGTCGTTGATGATTTGGTCTTGAACGTAATTAGTGTGTATGCCCCCCAATAGGCCTCGACGAGAGTGCTAAGAGACAGTTCTGGGAAGACTTAGATGGCCTGGTTGGAGCTACACCTAGTAGTGAGAAGCTTTTTATAAGAGGAGATCTTAATGGGCATGTAGGTACTACAAGCGTAGAGTTTTGAGGCAGTTTATGAAGGTTTTGGATATGGTAGTAGGAATCAGGAGGGGGAGGAAGTTCTGGACTTTGCGGTAGCTTTTGACTTGATGATAGCCAACACTTTCTTTACAAAGAGAGAATCTCATCTAATGACCTTCAGTAGCGGACAACACTTTAGCCAGATTGACTTTGTCCTCACGAGAAGAAAGGACAAATATGCATGCTTGGATTGCAAGGTGATACCAGGGGAGTGTGTTGTTTCTCAACATAAGCTTTTGGTGACAGACTTTCGTTTTCAGGTGCGTGCCCGTAGGGATAAACAAGCTAAGATTGAAAGAACAAAGTGGTGGAAACTGAAAGGGTAGACGTCAGAGGTATTCAAGGAAAGGGTTATCAAAGAGGGCTCTTGGAAGGAAGAAGATGACATAAACAACATGTGGGAGAAGATGGCAACCAACATTCGGAAGGTGGCCTCAGAGGTGTGTGGAGTAACCAAAGGAAGTGGAGGCGAGGCTAAAGATACTTGGTGGTGGAACGAGGAAGTCCAAAGGGCTATTAAGGAGAAGAAAGAATGCTATAGACGCTTGTACCATGACAGGAGTGTGGACAACATAGAGAAGTACAAGGTGACAAAGAAGACTGCAAAGCGAGCTGTAAGTGTGGCAAAGGGTAGAGCGTACGAGGATCTTTACCAACATTTGAGTACGAAGGAAGGAGAGAAGGACATTTATAGGATGGCTAGGATTCGTGAGAGAAAGACAAGGGACTTCAACCAAGTTAAGTGCATTAAGGATGAAAGGGAGCATCTCTTGGTGAAGGAGGATGAGATCCGACATCGATGGCAAAAGTATTTTGACAAATTGTTTAATGGTGAGAATATGGACACAACCTTTTAGTTGGATGACTCTTTTGATGACACCAATAGGCGTTTTGTGCGGAGAATCCAAGAATCTGAGGTCAGAGAGGCGTTGAAAAGGATGAAAGGAGGTAAGGCGATAGGACCAGATGGTATCCCAATCGAGGTGTGGAGATGCCTCGGGGACATAGCTATAGTATGGCTAACCAAGCTGTTCAACCATATTTTTCGATCGAACAAGATGCCTGATGAGTGGAGGAGAAGTATATTGGTACCGATCTACAAGAATAAAGGGGATATTCAATGCTGTACTAATTACCGGGGCATTAAGTTGATGAGCCATACTATGAAGCTATGGGAGAGAGTTATCGAGCATCGCTTGAGAGCAATAACGCGGGTCTCTATGAACCAATTTGGTTTCATGTCCGGAAGGTCAACCATGGAAGTCATTTTCTTAATAAGACAAGTTATGGAGCGGTATAGGGAGAAGAAGAAGGACCTACACATGGTTTTTATTGACTTGGAGAAGGCTTATGATAAAATACCAAGGAATGTTATGTGATGGACTTTGGACAAACATAAAGTCCCAACGAAGTACGTCGGGCTCATTAAGGACATGTACAACAATGTTGTGACTAGAGTTCGAACAAGTGATGGAGACACGGATGACTTCCCGATTAGGATAGGACTACATCAAGGATCAGCTTTGAGCCCTTATTTGTTTACCTTAGTGATGGATGAGGGTACAAGGGACATACAAGGAGACATCTCTTGGTGTATGCTTTTCGCGAACGATGTAGTGCTAGTTGATGAAAGCCGGACAGGAGTGAATCAGAAACTGGAGTTATGGCGGGAGGCTTTGGAGTCCAAAGGTTTTAAACTCAGTAGAACTAAAACTGAGTATATGAGATGTGACTTCGGCACTGCTACTCGGAAGGAGAAAGATATTAGTTTGGAAGGTCAAGTAGTGCCTAGGAAGGATACCTTTCGATATTTAGGATCAATGCTACAGAGAGATGGGGATATTGATGAAGATGTTAGCCATAGAATCAAAGTAGGGTGGATGAAGTGGCGGCAAGCATCTGGTGTCCTATGTGACAAAAGGGTACCACAGAAGCTAAAAGGCAAGTTTTATAGGACGGCGATTAGACCTGCTATGTTGTATGGTGCAGAATGTTGGCCCACGAAAAGACGACATGTTCAACAGCTAAGTGTCGCGGAAATACGTATGTTGCGTTGGATTTGCGGTCATACAAGAAGAGATCGAGTTCGGAACGATGATATACGTGATAGATTAGGGGTAGCACCAATTGAAGAAAAGCTTGTCCAACACCGGTTGAGATGGTTTGGACATGTGCAACGGAGACCTTCAGAGGCACCGGTGCGTAGTGGAATCTTAAGCCAGGATAGTAACGTGAAGAGAGGCAGAGGAAGACCGAAGTTAACTTGGGTGGAGGCAATAAAAAGAGACTTGAAAGGATGGAATATACCTAAAGACTTAGCCTTAGATAGGAGTGCTCGGAAGACAGCTATTCACATGCCTGAACCTTGATTGCTTCTGCTGGGTTTCAACTCTAGCCTACCCCAACTTGTTTGGGATTTAAAGGCTTTGTTGTTGTTGTTGTTGTAGAAAGGAAAGAGGGAGGGACAGCTATTAACGTGCCTGAACCTTGATCGCTTCTGCTGGGTTTCAACTCTAGCCTACCCCAACTCGTTTGGGATTTAAAGGCTTTGTTGTTGTTGTTGTTAAAGGAAAGTGGGAGGGAGAAAGAGAAATGAAGGCAGACCTAATTTTGAAAATAGCCCATATAGATCCCCTGCTGTATTCTCCAGCTGTGATCGGAGTCTTTGTGCTTCACCAACAAGAACTTTTTTCTGAAGACATTTAAAAAAGAAAGGACGTAAGAGAAATGGTAAGCATAATCACCTCAGCCAAAAATCTGAACATTTTCTGCAAGTATGAAAATAACACAGCGCAGGTGTATCAAGGCAAAATGGAATGAAACAAACATTATTTTAGTATATTACTCACATGCATTCTGTACACAGCAAGCTAGAGAACCTTATCAAATGCTTAATTAAGCCTATCTGCCTATGCATCACATTTCATATGCAAAGTTGCAAACTCATATAGAAATCAATGAAGTCTTCATTATGATAAGCTTTGCCTTGAAGGGGCAAATTCTAACCTGATTTAAGAAGATTTTCTATCAAATATTGCTTCTCCTTAATAGTATTATTTGCCTTCATGTATTTCGCTTCAAGATCCGCTAGGGTGCACTCTGTTTCCTTCATTCTTTTCTGCAAAAAGATGAGAAGTTGTAAATACAAACATCATTATTCCATTATATGACAGAAATATGACAATACAAGTATGCAGCACACATACCTGTAATGTCTGAAGTTGATCACTTAGATCTGCACTCATAACTTTCTGAGAATCATAGAGTCCTTGAAGCTCTTCTAATTGCTGGTGCAGTTACAGATTCCAAATTATAGCATTATTTTTTTCAGCAAGATACCGATCCTCTAACTGAACTAAAGGCATACCTTATCTTTTGATTCCAAAATAAGCTCCAAACGATCCAGTTTCTCTGACATAGCCTGAAGAATTCCTCTGTCATGCTATAGAAGAATATGCACAATCTAATATGTCATAAGTGATGAAGGGAGTAAGTACCTTTTTTTCAGCTTCATCTGCTAAGTGTTGTTCCCTCGGAATATAAACACCATTTTTCTCCCTTGCAGCATATAGTTATGTTCAAAAAGCAGAACCAAATTTAGGGGGTGTTTGGCAGAGCTCCACGCAGCTCCAGATCCTAAAAACATCTCTGCTACCAATTTTTTCAGCCAAACGCTCTAGCTCCGCGAACTCCAGATCTGCCAAAAACATGGATCTAGCTCCCAGATCCACCAAATCCACGAAGCACCTCAAGGGGTGCTCTGAAAACTCTAATTTCGTGGAGTTGGTAGAAATTACCCACCACTGCCATCCATTACACAACTTACCGGTTCGATTCTATTTTTCTTCCTCTTCCTCCGTCGCAACTCGCGACCGTGGCTGTGCGCTTCTTCCTCCGCCGCGACTCGCCTCCTGCCGGTCGCGCATCGCCTCCAGCCTCCGCGCCGCCATTGGTGGGCCGCGGTGCCCTTGACCGGCTGCGCGCCGCCCTTGGTCGGTTCTTCAACGCAGGGTCGGCGTTCCGCCTCTCGACGTTGTCCGCGACCTCCTCCAGCCTCGCCCGAAACTCCGCCTACGCCGGCCGCGCGCCCCGGCCCTGGCCCGGAACTCCACCTGCGCCAGCCGCGCCTTCACGCCCCCGTCCCCGGCCGCTGCCCCCACGCCCCATGGCCGGCCGCGGGAGCCCCAGGCCGATAGCGCCAAGGACGGCCACGAGCTCCCAGCGCCGGCCGCGCCCCCATGCCGTGGCCCTGCGCCGGCCACGCCCCCGGCCCCGGCCGCAGCCCCCACGTGCCAAGGCCACCCGCGCGGAAAGAAGAAGCAAAAGGAGGAAGAAATGTGTTTTTTTCATTTTAGCCCCTGTTTATGTTTTAATAATTACATACGAGTCCATCTCAGAGTTGGAGCTCTACCAAACGGTTTGGTGGGAGCTCAGCTCCACCGTAGAGCTGCTCCATGGTGGAGCACCTACTCTGGAGCTGTGTTTTGAGAGCTGGAGCCCTGCTAAACAGGCCCTTAGTAACTATACTAGCTTGAAGTATGTGGCTTTTCATAAAATTAAAATTGATGAACAATAATATAAAGATAGTGATCGCAGATTTTAGTGTATCTACAATGAAGAACTAAAATCTAGAAATACCTCATCTAGAATATGCACTTACAGATGTGCATTTGTGGTCTCTGCATTTTTCAAAGAACTGGAAGAATGTGGTAAACAATTTGATGACATAGATGTTCATGTATAGTTAAACTGAGTAATTGTCATATTGTTAACAGTGTTCAGGTACATGGTGTCAAACAATTCTGACAATAGAGGAGATGAATAAGATGCAAGGAAGCATTCAGCACATTTGGTGGATTCTATAGTAAGATTCATCCAGCAGTAACCATGTTTCCCAGAATCAGCTAATATTCAACCCATCTTTATTTCAAGAGCACAAGATTAACTCACATGCGTGGATGGGAAATGATCCTGTTGTATTTTTCTGAAGTTGACAACAATAAGTATAAGCAGTGTTGAATGTTTGTAAGAAGAAAAGGATACCTTGCTTGAGACGGTCCATTTCAAAGTACAAATCTTTGATGAGCACAGATTTCATCATCTTCTGATTGACCTGGAACCAATGGGCAAGTTATTAAAATCATTTATCCATGAGAAAGTTTACATTGCATGGTAAATTGACAACTAAAAAAAACAGAACCTCTGGTTTATTCTTGATGTGTTTTGCACGATGCGCGTAATCCAGGGTGCTTAGCGTCTCCTCAAGGCAGTGTACAGAAGGTGCAATGGTTGCTATGATGCAAGTCTTTGTCTTCCCTCCCAAAGAATCTCTTAACAATCTTGTTAACTTGCTATCCCTGCATGAATAGCAGCCAAATATCAGATGCCTGAACAGCTTCAAGGAACAATCTCAACAGCTAGTGTTTGCTTGACCTGTATGGTATGTGTCCAGAGTGCTCAACAAGAGTATTAATGACACGCCCAAGTGTTTCTCCAGCTTCACGAGCTCGCCCCTGTAAGAACAGATGGCAACTATGTAAGTATTACTCACTTGTACAGCTTGATCATGGTATTTAGTGATGAAGTGGAAAAGGAAACAGGAGCTCCCAAAAAAAACTTACGTCTCTAGCACCGGACCTAGATATGTTTTCAGAGCCAGCAAGGTCAACGAGATTAAGCTTTCCACACTTGATCATTTCCTCACCTTCAGGTGTGCATTCCTTAATATGGATGGTGATAGAGAAAATAGAGTGTGAGCGACTGCTTTGCTTGTTGAGAAGAGTTTCAGCAGTTTTTCTCTTTGCAGAGCCTCTCTCCAGTATCCTGTAGATCTCGGCAGCTGAAGAAACTAGCTCTTCCTCGAGCCCTCTAACAAAGACTCCTCCCTTGCCATCCTCGATGAGTGCCATAGGCTTCTTGGACTTGTCATCAGAGAATTTAGATTCCTCGGGGGCTAGAAGATCAGTGAGCTCCTCATTGTACAGCTCAAGAAAAGAAACCTTCATGCTGTACTCTGCACTCTGTGCCTCGAGGATGTCAAATATGCGCTTAACAGCCCTTGGAATGACACCGGCATCAGATGGGAGGTCACCGTTCTACAGAAATGTAGGTGGAGGGGAGTTATGACCTCAGTTGAAGCAGCAAACTAACTGCATCAGAATTCAGAAACATGTGCAGCATGTGAATATATATAACAAAAATTTACCAGTGCTTTGCCCCCTCCTCCTTCCATTGTGTATGTTTTGCCAGTTCCAGTCTGGCCATATGCAAATATTGTGCCATTGTAGCCGTCCAAAACCTCGCTGACAAGTGGCACAACAGCATGGTTGAAGACATCCTGCTGTTGAGACTTTGGTCCAAACACCTGCATGTTTCGGTTGGTTATTGAGTGATGAATCAGTCAAATGAATGCCTGGGCATGGCAGTGATCAACAAGTGGAAGTGGTAAAGGGAAATAAAATAGTTGGCATGAGTTACTTTGTCGAATGCAAAGGTGCGATCAATGTGCTTGTTAGCGATGTTCTGGGCAACGGAAACCTCCCGTCTCTGGTCATTGCAAGTGACCACCACGGGAGTGCCGACGCGGCGTTCCTCGTTGCTCAATGGCCTACACGTACAAGGAAAGGAAAGAAATAGGATGCAGTGAGGTTGAATTGATGAGTGGTGAGTGAAACTAATGATACTACAGGGAAGTGTGGCGTTCCATTGGTGGATCGATCAGACTATGACTGACATGTATATATATACTATACGAAAAACATATAGGAGTACTAGATAAGTAGAGTACATATACATAACCAGGGGCGGGCCCACATGTATTCAAGGGTATTCAACTGAATACCCATTATTTTTACCACAAAACTTTGTATATGTAATGTATCCTATGTATATGTATATAAAAAAATAAAGAGGCTATGGTTCAACCCAAACAAATTGGCCCATTCTGCCAGTCTCTGTATAACGGTTCTAGCCCGGTAGCCAATTTGGCCCATTCTGCCAGTCCCTCCTCTCTGAGCATAGAGGACAGAGCGCTCCTCGTTCTGTCGTTCGATTCAGGTCCTCCTCTTCGACTCTTCTTCTTCCTTAATTGATTTACGCACGCTCGCCCCCGGGCTCCAAACTCTAACGGAGTAACGGCGGCGGCGGCACAGCCCCACGGCGGCCCGGCAGGGAGGCCGGACCGCGAGTACGGATTCTAGGGCCACTGCAAAGGCAGAGGCGCGGCGACGCACTTGGCGCAGGCGCTCGGCGACCTGAGCGCGCAACGCCACAGTGACGGGCCTCGACCGGTGGCGACCGGTGCTGGAGTAGGGAGCGCTCCATTCCTTTGCCTTCTCCCTTCTCCACTCCGTGCTCTGGCCTTCGGCAAAGGTAGGCATCAAAATTCAAGCCTCATCGACCTAGAAACTGCAGGACTGCAGCAAGATATTGAGGTGTGCATTTGCGATTGTCTGTAAAATTGTGATTGCATAGCAATTTACCAAAATTGGTCGATTTGTTATTGCATTTGCTCTATCGGTGCTTGTTCTCCCTGCTGCAATTGCGGGTGTTGAGAGGGTCTTGTCTGTAATGAATTTGATATAAAACAAGCGAAGAAGCAAGATGGGGTTGAAAATATTTAAATGGTTGCTTGCAAGCTAAGGATCAGGACATCGTCACTCATTTTCAAAGCATTTATTTTGCATGTTACCACTTTGATATGTTTCCATTTAGTACATCTATGTGTCGGACAATTTCAAGTTGTGCTTAATTTTATTAATCAACGATGCTAGAACCTAATGAGGCTGTCAAAAAAAATTAGCATTTAAAATTTTGAATACCCATCGTCCAAATCTTGGGCCCGCCTCTGGGCAAGCAGCTTGCCAAGAAAACCCTAGTCATCCCTCTCTGCTTTACCAAGTTCCTCTACCTGAGCAGCTTCCACTCAAAGATATGGCATACCAACGAGCTAACCCTGGTCCTTCTATTCCTGAGAGAATGCATCTCCACTATAATTGAAAACTTAAATAAATTTAGGTCTACCCAGAAAAACGTCCCCGCTGAGGAACTCTAACTTCATGCACCCTGAAAAAAAATGCACACAGCAATTTATCTTCATTAAAATCAAGGGCTGACAAGCATCCCTGCTAAGCTTCAACTCAATCGTGCGGCCTGGATCCATCCTAGGCTTCATCGCGAGGCTTCAACGCTGCTCGGCCCGACCGCGAATCAAGGCTTCAACGCACATCCTCGCGCCCGATCGGCCAGGTTTCGAACCCTGGGATGTCTTTTTTTTACCCCGAAAAAAAAAATTAAACATCACCTTGTCATCTCCCCTCCCAGTCCCACGACTTGCGATTGCGACTTCGCCCGCCCCATCGCTAGGGGTTCTCGCGGTGCAGATCGCGACTCAGATCGAGGCACTACCCGGCGTGGTGGCGGCGCGCCGAGAGGCTGGATTGGGAGACAAGAGGCGGAGCGGCAGGGCAGAGCTACCGGGGCTGGAGGTGGAGCGGGCGACGCTAGGATGGTGGTGCGGGTTGTGAGGAACCAGGCGTCTATGGGATTTGCGGCCCAGGACGTGAGGAACTGGCGCGGCCCGATGGCGGAAACGGAAACGGATGACTGCTCGGATACGAGCGCTCCCGCGGGCGCCGCCGTCGGCGAGGTCGACGAGTTCCTACCGGCCGTGTGTTACGAGCGGGCATCCATGCTGGAGCCGCTTGTGCGGCAGTGCGGGACGTGGGGGCGCTGCTGCTGCGCAGGTTCCCGGCGACGACGGCCACGGACTTCGACCGCGCGCCTTTGACGCTGCTATGCGGCGTTGCGCGCGCCATGGACCAACAGTGTAGGTTCGGGTGTTCACCGCCAACAAGTCGCAGCCCAATCAGAACATGCCCCCGCACCACGAAATGGCTCAGGTAATTAAGTCTTAAGCCTTCTTTGTAGTCTGCACCTCAAAAGCAGCGGAGTAACTGAAATTTAGGAGACAACACAGTGCCCAGGGCATCTGAATTGGGTTAGGTTTAGAAATTTTCAGTACTATATAGGAGTAGACGAGTAGTCATTAGCAGACGTGAGAAATACTGTACTCGCTACATATTTATTTTATGAATGTTGTAGACATACAGTTTGAATTGTGTATATTTCAGTACACATTGCTATGGCAACTGAAAACTAAATGAAAAATTATAGTGGAACCAAAGAGTGGCGGGGGGTAACAATAGTACTGAGCCACTATGTCTACAAGGGTAGAGAAACTGGACAAGGATGGACTGATATATACATGCGTTCTAGGAGAGGGCGATGACCTGTCTTCGCCAATCAGCCGTGGATGGCAATCGACTTTTCTCACTAAAGATAAAGCTGTTGTTGAGGAACTGTAACTGCCATGTGATGATTTTTGCGGAAGATCTGAATTTTAGTGCTCAGATTACTATAAGTACACCTGGCCTCTTGATAGGCTATGAAGTTTTTTCTACTTCTAATAAATATCAAATTTTGAATTGATTTATAAAGGCATCACAGAGAAGCTGAAAAAATAGGCACGGTCTTGAGTGGCCTACTCATCATCCACTAATTAAAGTGGTGGTCTCGATGTCAGGGAATCTTGTTTTTTAGGTCAACGACTGGGGGTTAGAGTTACCCCCACCTGATATATTGCAGCCACAGATGCCGACGCAAGGATGGGGGTGGTGGGGCGCATGGCTCGAAGTACAAAGTTTATGAGTTACATTGGGGGAGAGGTAGATTTAAATGGGCAAATTATTACACCAGAAATTTAAAGACGAGCATCATTTTTGGGGAGGCGGCATCTCTGCTGCCGAGCTGAGATCTTGCATGCAGCGATGAGGCGGGAATGATCAGTAGCCAATACCACATCATGTCTATGGATAGATAAAGAGCAGCAGGGAAGAGTGCGCTGCCTTTGGCATGAGGACTGACGAAGTAGATTCCCATAGGCGCTGAACGTTAGCATTATCTATCCCGCTTGCCAGCTATGCGATGATTTTTTGTTAGAACTGAATTTTAGTGCCCAGATTACAATAATAATAAGTATGCGTGTTAATTGTTTATTAGTCATATCTAATTAAGTTTTGAACTTGTTTGGCGTATTGATAATCTGAAAACGTTAGTAAATTTTGCAGGCTGCCAAGTTTCTTGGGTTTCATGGATTAGTTTATGAAAGCATCAAGAAAACTCTGGTACAGGAATCGCATTGGCAAAGTAAGCTATTGAGCGCACGATGAAGGTACACATTGTAGGCAGTTAATTACTAATGTCAACATAAGTTGTGAGATATTAATCGTCTATTGTCCTCATTTGAACTACCCCGCTATTTTTGTTAATTACTAATGCCAACATAAATTGTGAGATATTAATCGTCTATTGTCCTCATTTGAATTGCCCTGTTGCATGTGATCTGCTTAATTGACCAATGAGATAATATGTAGCGAGTCTTTAAAATGGTATTTTCAGAGATGACATTTGTATGGGGAGCTAATGCTTGACCACCGACACTAGAGGTGCATTGCTATTGTAAACACTAAGTTTGACGTCCAAATGCAATGCTACGGTCGGAGGATGATTTTGGAAGTCTAAAAAATCATGCAAAGTATATATTAATCCTCGCTAATTATATTATATCTGAAAGTTTCCCTGTTTCTGCATTTACATTGATCGAAGTTAGTTCACGATACTCGTTTTTAACAAAGCGGTCTTTGGGATTATATTATTCGCATTTGGAATGATTAATCTTGATAATGATTGAAAAACAAATGCAGGTGGTAATGGAGGGAAGGGTGGTGATGTAATTATTGAGTGCTCCAGGTCTATCTCGGGATTTCAATGGCTTGCGGTATCACATGAACCTAAAGTGTGAATGTAGACAAAACGTCTCAATATGATATGGATTATTTGAGTTCGGGAACTCATTGATACTGACTTTTAGCTTGTTTGCTTTTGGATTTCAGAAAGGAGGCCAAGGCGAGAATGGAGTATCTAAGAATCATATTGGAACAAGAGGTTCGAGACAAGGTTGCCATGAATATATGTCTACATATGTCCTAACTTCTTTTGGTTTCTATTTCGTAAATAAAGCTGGCGGTGTATATCACCCCCGCTACTTATATATAACAGATTTCACAAGTACCAGAGGGAAAAGTGATTCATCTGGTCAATGGGGAGCAACCTTCTCTCTTTGTACATAAAACAACCAGAACTAATCCTTGGGACATACCTGTTTCTGCAGAACACTCTTGAGTTCAAATCAGATTGACAATGCGTTGATGAAAGAATTTGATGGTGGCTTGTCCCATTGGCATATTCCGCCCAATCATAGTACTGATGGAGTTGAGAACACGTGAGGAGTTCCTATTTACAGGTAGCAAGGTGATGCCTTTCTTCCGTGATCTTTGGTTCATATTTTTCCTACAATGTTTTACTGATTACGAATGAAATGGATAAATGCTTTCGAAGAAGACGAACAAGAGGAAGGTGGATCAAGTGGGAAGAGGCACGCTGCAGCTGCTGCTCACCACGAGACTCTGCAATGTGCAATGATGAGTTTAGCAACGAGGAGGAAGAAGCTACTTATCCCGGAAGTTAAATGCACCTATTTTCTCATTGGAGTTTTTCGTAGAGTGAGCCTTTAGCACTTAGCAAGGCTAGATGCATCTCAATGCATTGTTCGTAACATCAGTCATTTTCGTCTAGCAAACCACGAACTTACATAGCCATCGGCTTCTTTGTGCATAAAAAAAATTAAAGAAGACTACCAGAGTACCAGATGGCATTGTCAAGCAGTCGGCTTCTAATGCTTATGATTTTTTTTGTTTGCATAGACACGTAAATCATTCGTTGTATAGTAATTAGTAGAGTTGCAATGTAATTGTTCAAAAAGAAAAACATCGGAATGTTATTTGTATATATTCAAATGTTGCCGTGGCGTTAGCACGGGCATTATACTAGTCATATTGAAGTTCAAAATCGGAGGTTCATGGTTCGGCTGTATGTAGTAAGGCCCACATGTATTCAATGGTATTCAACTGAATACCCATTATTTTTACCACAAAACTTTGTATATGTAATGTATCCTATGTATATGTATATAAAAAATAAAGAGGCTATAGTTCAACCCAAACAAATTGGCCCATTCTCGCCAGTCTCTCGTATATAACTGTTCTAGCCCCAGAGCCAATTTGGCCCATTCTCGATCCCTCCTCTCCAAGCATAGAGGACAGAGCGCCTCGTTTTGTCATTCGATTCAAGTCCTCCTCTTCGACTCTTCTTCTTCCTTAATTGATTACGACGCTTTCGCCCCAGGCTCCAAACTCTAACGGAGTAACGGCAGCGTGGCGCAGCTTCACACTGGCGGCCGGGCAGGAGGTCGGACAAGCAAGTACGGATTCTAGGGTCATTTGCAAAGGCGGAGGCGCAGCGACAAGACTTGGCACAAAGCGCCGGCGACCTGAGCACGCAACGCCACAAAGGATGTGCCTCGAGCCTCGACCGGTGGCACCGGTCTTTGGAGTAGGGAGTGCTCCATTCCTTTGCCTTCTCCCTTCTCCGCTCCATGCTCTGGCCTTCGGCAAAGGTAGGCATCAAAATTCAAGCCTCATCGACCTAGAAACTGCAGGACTGCAGCAAAATATTGAGGTGTGCATTTGCGATTGTCTGTAAAATTGGGATTGCATAGCAATTTGCCAAAATTGGTCGATTTGTTATTGCATTTGCTCTATCGGTGCTTGTTCTCCCTGCTGCAACTGCAGGTGTTGAGAGGGTCTTGTCTGTAATGAATTTGATATAAAACAAGCGAAGAAGCAAGATGGGGATGAAAATATTTAAATGGTTGCTTGCAAGCTAAGGATCAGGACATCATCACTCATTTTCAAAGCATTTATTTTGCATGTTACCACTTTGATATGTTTCCATTTAGTACATCTATGTGTTGGACAATTTCAAGTTGTGCTTAATTTCATTAATCAACGATGCTAGAACCTAATGAGGCTGTCAAAAAAAAATTTCGCATTTAAAATTTTGAATACCCATCGTCCAAATCTTGGGCCCGCCTCTGGGCAAGTAGCTTGCCAAGAAAACCGAGGACTTGCTTATTGGGCCCACCCCACAGCCTCGGATTCCAACGGAACTGACGGGGCATGGGGCCCACTTTGGGTTGCATTGCCTTGCATTTGAGTTCTCCCACGGAGAGGGAGAGAGAGCTTCCTTTTTTTTGGTCACATTAAATTATACTTATTATATAATAAATAATAAATGTACCATACTCAGTTATCTATTGTTCCAATTATTTATGCTAAGTATGCTTCTTACTAATTGCCGAACTTAGGTGGTGTTTGATCCTGGGCTAAAGTTTAGTTCGT